ATCATAAGAAATTAGGGAGAATTTTATTTGCCTTACAGCCTCCGAGAACGAGCCTTAATAAAAAAGCAGTCTGAGAGGTCAAGAGTAAGGCTTGCATCTCTGGAAAGGATGCGAGAGCACGGTGCTTCTGTTTGGTGTAGTGGTTAGGAGCGTGGACTCTAATCTTAGAGAACCGGTTTTGATTTGCCACTCCTGCACATGCAGCTGCTGGTGTGACCTTGGGCTAGTCACAAGTTCTCAAAAGAGCTCTCTCAGCCCCACCTACCTCACGGGGTGTCTGTTGTGGGGAGGAGAAGGGAAAGGAGATTGTAAGCTGCTCTGAGACTCCTTTGGATAGTGAAGGGTGGGGTATAAATCCAATCTCCTCCCCCTTTTCCTCCTCCTCCTTGAAGTGACAGCGCGGTGAAGTGGGTGGAGCACTGAGCTCATTGAAGGCGGGCCTGGGGTTGAGAACAGGTGGTCCGTTACAAAGCTTATTTGGCGCCCTTGGTTTCTTGCAAGGCCTCCGCTCAAACATCACAGTTAGCCATAGCTTTGTAACGGCATGGTCTGTATCAACCAGCAAGCCAGAATTGGGGAAGCCCTGGATTTGAAAATGGGTTTGCAAATTACTGTTCGTGCCAACTGGGGTTTTGTGGTGCTTCGGTACACTGCAGTTGCCCGCACGGCTCGGCATCTGTGCTGTCTCAGAGCAGGAGTGCTCAGCCAGTAACGGCAGAAACAAGTGAGCAGTCCGTGCCTTGCCTCTCAGCATTTTGGAAGTTCATAGCTGTGGTTTGGTAGAATTGAAAAGTGCCTTTGGCCCGCTCTACAGAATCCATTGGAGAGCCAGCGTGGTGTGGTGGTGAAGAGTGGCAGACTCTAATCTGGAGAGCCAGATCTGATTCCCCACTCGTCCTCCACATGAAGCTTACTGGGTGACCTTGGGCCAGTCCCAGTTCTCTCAGAACTCTCTCAGCCCCACCTACCTCACAAGGTGCCTGTCGAGGGGAGAGGAAGGGAATGGTGATTGTAAGCTGCTTTGAGACACATGAGGCCTGCTGGGTGACCTTGGGCCAGCTTTGTTTTTCTCAGGACACTCTCAGCCCCACCTGCCTCACAGGGTGCCTGTCCTGGGGAGAGGAAAGGAAGGTGATTGTCAGCCACTTTGAGACACATGAGGCCTGCTGGGTGACCTTGGGCCAGTCCCAGTTCCCGCAGAACTCTCTCAGCCCCACCTGCCTCACAGGGTGCCTGTTGTGGGGATGAGAAGGGAAAGGCAATCGTAAGCCAATTTGAGGTTCCTTAGGGTGGAGAAGCGGGGGGATAAAAACCTGTTCTTCTTCATTGCATTGGCTTTATCATACTACCAAGCTGCCCCATTTGCCCTGACAGGCTAGAATCTCTGTGTGTAAGAGCGTATTTTGGTGGAGAGGGAATTCAAATCTGTCACTTCCTACCTGCTGTCCAAAAGTGGTACAAACCTCCCACCCCCCCAAAGAACTTTTTATCACTTGATCTCAGGCCCCAAATAGTTCTACCCTAACAGGCTTGTGTAGGATTAAAATGGCCGCCATAGAGGCACCCTTTAGCTCTCAGGGGCAGAGAGTGAAATCTCTGTGCTTAGAAATCTAGCTCCGAATTCTCCAGTAGTTAATGTTCACAATATCCGTGGATATTCACGGTAAGTTCTCTATCTCCCTTTTCTTCGCTGCACAATCTTTTTTTTTTTTTAACTGCTGACTGCCAAAGGAAATCAGGCTTCAAAATACCGACAGGTTTTAAGAGTTAATCATTGTGCCTTACGGGAGGGGAAATGAAGGAAACCGCTGTCTGAAAACAGCCTATATTGTGAATGTACTCTGCACACAATCATTTGTACTTTATTTTTGTATTTTTTAAAAAAAGGGAAACTCAAATATTTTGTGTTCAGGAATGTGACTTGGCGCTTCCTCTTTTTTTTTTCCTTCTAAAAAGCGATACCCTCTTATTTTGTGGGTCATCATTTTGAAATAAAATCATCTCTATTATACTGTGTGTGGGCTTCTATCTCTATTATACTGTGTGTGGGCGTCTAAAGCCAATTTGTCTCGAACTCTTTTTAAAAGGGGGAGGGGAGCTGGAAGGGAGGAACTTGAAGCACTTGCCAAAGTAGGCGGTAGGCACCCTTGGGGACCAGCCCTGTAGCCAGAAATTTGGGGTTGGTGCGGCACGGGGAAATTTTGTGGGGTAGCAAGGGAAGAGGCAGTGGCATGCCTTCCCTGAACTCCCAAGTGGCGATTTTGCCACTTGGAGATCAGGTGCGGGCAGCCCCTGCTAGAAAAACAGCATTTAACAGGTTCCCTTTAAATGCTATTTTTTCTGAAGCTTGGGGGAGGGAGGGGCAGCTGCAAGATTTAAAGGGCCCTCCAGCTGATCGGCGGGTCACGGTCCCCCCGCCGATCAGCTGGACGGCACTTTGAACGTCATGAGGGGGAGAGGGGCAGCAGCTGTCGTTGGGTGTGCCTCACTGTAGCTACAGGCCTGTTAAGGACTCAAGTGCCAGAAAAGTGCACCCTCTATTTGTGAAAAAATGCCAGTGAGCCAGCAATCAGAATGGAGGGGGGACATGAGGGGGTGGTTCTTGGCCAGAGTTGCTTGGAGCAAACAAAATCCCAGGGACCCTCGAGCTTGGCTGAAGGAGCCTCCGTTCCAGTAGCACCTCTGAAGAACAACAAGATTTCCAGGGTATAAGATATAACATTATAAGACGTATTGAGAGATATATAGATAACAGATAATTCAAAGAGTCCGAGATTCTCCCACGGAATCTTTGTCTGTTTGTTATAAAAAAAAAAAGTACTCGGAGCTGCGGTGGCTCAAGTGGTTAAGACGCTGAACTGCAGGCTGTGGAAGGTCGGTAGTTCAGCAGTTCGAGACCCGGGTACTCTCAAAAGCTTGTACTTTGGAAATCTTGTTGGCGTGAGCGATGGTGTACAGATCGATGGTACAGCCTCTTTTTGGAATATTGTGAACCGTTCTAGTCACTATATCTCAAAAAGGGCACTGCAGAGCTGGAAAAAACAGAGGAAGGCAACCGATAGGATTAGGGAGTTGGAGCACTTTCCCGATGAGAGTCTGAAGAGACTTTTCAGTTTAGAAGAGACAACTAAGCGGGGGGCATGATAGAGGCTTATAAAATAATGCATGGGGTGGAGAGAGCTGACAAAGAACTTTTTCTCCCTCGCAGTACTAGAACTTGAGGGCATCCAATGAAACTGGTGGACAGTAGGTTCAGGATAGACAAAAGGAATTCAAAAGCTTGTACTTTGGAAATCTTGTTGGTGTGATCGATGGTGTACAGATCGATGGTGTAGCCTCTTTTTGGAATGTTGTGAACAGTTCTAGTCACTATCTCAAAAAGGGCACCACAGAGCTGGAAAAAAATACAGAGGAGGGGAACCGATAGGATTAGAGAGTTGGAGCACTTTCCCGATGAGGAGAGTCTGAAGAGACTTTTCAGTTTAGAAGAGACAACTAAGCGGGGGGCATGATAGAGGCTTATAAAATAATGCATGGGGTGGAGAGAGCTGACAATGAGAACTTTTTCTCCCTCTCAGTACTAGAACTTGAGGGCACCCAATGAAACCGGTGGACAGTAGGTTCAGGATAGACAAAAGGAATTACTATATTCATGGAGGATAAGTCTATCAATGGCTACTAGCCATGGTGGCTGAAGGGGACCTCCACATACAGAGGCATTAATCCTCTGAATCCCAGAGCCAGGAGGCAACATGAGGGGGAAGGCCTTGGCTTCTGTGCCCTGTTGTTGGTCATCTAGAGGAACCGGTTGGCCACTGTGTGTGAAACAGGATGCTGGACTAGATGGACCACTGGTCTGATCCAGCAGGGCTCTTCTTTGGTTCTCATGAAGGCCTCGGCCTCTGTACCCTGTTGTTGGTCATCCAGAGGAACTGGTTGGCCACTGTGTGTGAAACAGGATGCTGGACTAGATGGACTACTGGTCTGATTCAGCAGGGCTCTTCTTAGGTTCTTATCAGGGGAAGGCCTCGGCCTTTATGCCGTTATTGGACCTCCAGAGGAACTGGTTGGCCACTGTGTGAGGCAGGATGCTGGACTAGATGGACAAGGTGCTACAACTACCTTGTGCCCCCTAGATTTTGCTTGGCCTGTACTAGAGAATTAGCAGCCTGAATAGCCCAGGTTACCTGAGCTGCTCAGAAGCTAACCTGGGTCAGCCCTGATTAGTATTTGGATGGGAGACCACTAAGGAAGGCCTGGGTTGCTAGGCAGAGGACAGCAATGGCAAACCACCTCTGCTTGTCTCCTGCCTTAAAAACCATATACAGGGATTGCCATGCATCAGTCACAAATTGACGGCACAGTTATTTTATGCTACAGAATCGCCTGGACTTAAATGTGCTGGACAGAGCTGCTTGAGGGGGAAACATCTGGCGGTCCACTCGGCCAAGCCATCATGGAAATGGAAATGCCAAATGAGTGTGTTTATCCGTTACGCTGGTCTTTCAGTACGCTGTTTAGACCTTGTTGACTCTCAGATCAGCTTGGTTCTCCCAGCCCCTCCAAAAACCTCAATAATCCTCATCCTCTGGGTCATGATATTTCCTCTGTAGTATGAATTGAGGGTTTTTTTTTTGGGGGGGGGAATAGGGTCCCCAGCGCCCTGACCTGGACAGCCCAGGCTGGCCTGATCTCATCAGATCTCAAAAACTAAGCAGGCTAGTATTTAGGTGGGAGACCTCCAAGGAATACCAGGGTCACGATGCAGGGGGCAAGCGACGGCAAGCCACCTCTGAACATCTCTTGCCTTGAAAACTCTACTGGAGTTGCCATAAGTCAGCTACTTGAGGGCACTTTCCACCACAGTGGAAACAGCCAGTTTGGTGTAGTGGTCAAGTGCGCGGACTCTAATCTGGGAGAACCGGGTTT